GAGGGGCGGCGTTGCAGGCTCTCCAGAGCCAGGTCCAGGCAGAGGTCGCGCCCAGCACTGACGGTCGGTCCCAATCCGCAGACTCCCGAGGGCGATCCAAACCGCCTAAGCATCCCGAGAGTCGAGCACCCGCGCCTGCGTTCCTGAGTCATCCAGCGCCCTGCAGCGGTTTTCATGCACATGGTCCGAATGTATCAGACTGCAGAGAGACGCTGCATTGTAACTGGCCAGCTTATAATACTCTAAATAATAATATAAAAGGTAGTTTTATATTTAACAAATATTGCTCACTGACAGTGTGCCCGGAACCAAAGCCTATTGTTTCATTGAATGTACACACCCTTGGGACTGGAATGAGTAGAAAACATTGTTATTCCTGTTTTACAGATGGAGAAACTGAGACTCTTGACTATCAGTAAGTGAGTAAGTCAGAATTTAAATCAGGCTTTGTCTGATATCAAATCCAGTTGGATTTTCTACTCTAATCGGTTTTTCTCATTAAACTTCAGACTTATCGTTTCCCATCATAGACCTTACCCATTTTTAATTGCTTATTCATTGGAGAGGGAGCTTCGTTCGGATTTAAGGTAATCAAAGAAAAAATTCAGTCAGCCAAATCTAATGACTTTTTTCCTGTTCCACGCATTTGAAAACAAATCACACCAAGGCCTAAGGATCTTAAACCTCGTTGTCTAGAAAGAAGGAAACACACTATTTTATTATAATCAACAAACTAAACCGTGTGTAGAGAGAGACAGCCAGGTGATGGAAACTCATTAGGTTCAGAAACCAGATTGTGCACGCGGTTCTGAGAGACAGCCAAGCGACCTCACGCAAGACCCTCTTTGGGGCTTAGTTTTCTTACCTAAAAAACCAGGGTTGAAGATCACCTCTCAGGGTGTTAGAAGGACAGGTGCCAGCTTCGAACCCGCCTGGGTACAATGGAGAACGAGCGCCACCTAGCGGGAATTCCTCTAGGGTTGTACGTACCTTTTATAGGGAGGTACTGGAATAAGCAGTATACAAAACGGACTGTTTTGCTTCTAGTTTCGTGTACACAGTCTTGCGCTGCCAGGGATCTAATTGCGGAGATGTTTTATTTAAAAAAACTCACCCAG